GTAAAAACAAGTCCATTAAGACCACACCTATGCTTTCTCAGAACCTTAGAGTTTAATTAAAGTAATGGTTAAGTTCTTGCACACCTTGTACCAGGACCCACTTTAGATAGGTAATTTTTCCAAGGCTCTGAAGTAATTGTCTAGACTGAGTACCCTAATTAAAGATTAGATAGAGTGAAACACTTCGGTTTTGGTTTGTAGGTGCATCGAATGTATACAAGCACTAGAGAACACTTGTAACTTTGAGTTGGTCTGGTGAGTTACTCCAATCTCTCTGTAACCAGTTGCAGAAATAAACTCCCTTCTTTCTCAGTCTACTTGTATCTTGTTATTGGACCACGAGAACAAGCAGCTGGATACCCACTTGGTGTGAATTCAAAAATGCTTGGCAAATTTAAAGTGACATTTTGGCTTTAGAAAGAAGGATAATTTCTAGTTAATTTGGTTTTACTGTAATACATATGTAGATTTAGGGAAATCAATAAAATTACTTGAAAGGGCAAAGCCAAGTTATGGTAATATATCTAATTGTGAATTTGAATTTTGTTTTGTATTTTTTATTACTTTTCTCATCAGAATGCTGAATGAACAATATTATGACATACTAATCACAATGCTAGAGAAAAAGAGATAATTCATTGGTAAATGGTAGTATATATTCAGAATGATGATCATTTTTAACTTCTTTAAAAATTCATTTTAGAAAGTAGAGGTAGAGTATTCTGTAATCTAACTCAGATAATCAAAATATGGAGAAAAATTAAGTGCAATATAGCATTTGTTTATTGTCATGGTTTTAAAATAGTATATCAACATTAGTAATTTCTTTCATTATTAAGAATTTTTCTTTATGAAATGGAATCAATAAAGCTTAAGCAAACTTAAAATAAGCTTAAAATTATAAAATAACATTTCTAGAAGTATTTATTTTGGTGATAACCAAGAAGATCTTTCATGAAAAATTCTTCCTCCTTTCTCTTAATACCATACACTGAAATTAGTTAAATTATCATATTAAGTAAGGCCTTTGTGTTGCAGAATGGAGGAGTGGGTTAAGAAGAGAAAATCATCTCTTAATGGCAAAATTAGCAAATCTTATGCAATTTCCCATCAAAATGTCATGTTAATCTGTCTAGGCCTAGTTTAGAAGCAGACAGGGCATAAAAGTTAACCAAACCTCTGGAAAAGAACCAAAGTTTGCAGAAGAGGCAGGTAGCGCACGCTGGCACACACCCGCTCATTGACTCTCCTCCGCCCCCTCACAAGAAACACTCGTGGACTCATGAACAGAAGATATTTGAATAAAAGCCTGATATGATCTATTCTAATCGGATTTTGGAAATATCAGGTAATTATTATACTTATGAATCATTCTAATTTTTACTATATATATCTCTCTCTCAAAATGCACTGTAATAGGTAATTTTAATAATATTCAAAGTCCACAGACTCTAACTACCTGTATGTTTTAATGCATTTTTAAAAGAGAAAAGGGTTTAGATTCTAAATCTAGTGACTTGGGAATTGTCTCATGATGAATATTTGAAAGCTGCTTAGGCCTGTGAGCTCTTTTCTAGCCTGCAAAATGAAACCTTAGGATCCTAGGAGGGCTTGTGAAAATTCAGCTTTTATATTAGAATTTTAGGTGTCCAGATTTGAAGGAAAAATATCATTTTTGTGAGAAAGTAAAGCATCTGTGATTTTGTGTGTGTGTGTGTGCTTATGTGTTGGAGTTTAAGCACTGTGGTGGATGAGCAGCAATTAGTGTGAAAAATATGTGGTATAAAGGAGAAACTTTGTGTTAAAACTATTGAGGAATTAAGGAGCATCATCAGAAGAGAAGAGACTGGCAGGGCAACAGGAAGAGGAGCATTATGACAAGAGTCTGGAAGAATTCTTTAATTCTGACATGAATAGTGAAAGAAAGCCAGTCACAATCAATCCGGGTTTTGATGCCTCATCTAATGTCCAAGAGTTGCTACAATTACTTCAGAGTTTGCAAACCAAATATATCACTTAACTCATGGATATCATATTACTGAGGTATATAAGCATATTTGTTTGTGTAAACTGAGATGCAAAGTGAATTAGCAATGATAAACCACCTTTTATCTATTAAATTGTCAAGTACAAAAAACAATATTCAGGACTTGGATGTGTATGATAAGACGGGGCTTGTGATTCCATTCTGATAAGGATAAAATTGGCATGAAATATCGTGAAAGAAGTTTGGGATTACATATCAATACATTTGAAAATTTCAACATTCCTACTATTTAATGTGGAACCCACTTCCCCAGTATCTCTCAAAAGAATAAAAAAATGAGTCAAAGTTTTCCAAAAAAGATAACTAACTGCTGGAACTGTCTGGCTCCTATAAACTTGAAAAACTTACCCTCCAGCTCTCCATCGGGGGACAAGGCCTCAGATTAGAAAAAAACTTCTGAGAGAAGAATCAAAATTGAGGAGGACAGAGGCAGTAGAGACAAGTAAAAAAAGATCTAAACCAAAGTGGGTGAGGAGTCTAGATGCAGAATATCTCAGAAAGTAAGCTGCCACGCATTTGAGCATTACAGAGAACAGCAGAGGGGAGCCATGTGATATTATCAAAGCTTTGTTGAAACGTACCTTCATCGACGTTTCAAGTCCATGTGTATGGAGCCTAATTTTACATAAAAATGTACAATATAAAATTATTACAAGAAAAAGAATAAGAAGAATAATACCCCTACAATGAAAGCATATCATAAAGATACACCCACAAAATAAGTTAAATGACATTAAGAAAATGATAAAAGACATAAAAGAACAGTACAACATAAATAAAAGTTTTTAAAATTCAGAAATAATATGTCAGTCCTCAGAAAACAAAAATAAAATAATAGCTATTTAGAAAATAATGCTAAAGTAAAAATAAAATTATAATAAATAAACACAGGTAATCCTTTGAGAGAAATAGAATGTAAAAAGAGTACATTTTTAAAGTAGCATTAAAAATTTGAAGAAAGAGATGAAAATAATTTTTAAAAAGGTAAATATCAAAGATAGGCAGAAAAGATTTAACTTAAAGTATTTAATAGAAGTTCCAGAACTGGAAGCCAAAGCAAGATAATAAAATAACTTCTTTTATTTTTATTTATAAAAATAAAAACATATATTTTATTTTTTATAATGATAAAAAAACCTTGAAACTATATATGGAAATAGAAAACCATAAATCTAAGAGTGTTGTCTCAGAATCACCAACACCATTAGACATTCCAGTAAAATTATCAGAAAAGGAAAAATTATTTGTGCATCAAGAAAATATAGCATTTGACTTATATGGGAAAGTATATTAAACTACCATAACAATTTCAGGAGCCACACTTTAAGAAAGAAGAAAATTGAGAAAAATGTTTAATGAGTTCAAGAAAAAAAATGTATAAGCCAATGACTTTATATCCAACACAGGTGACAAAGGGCACAGATAAACTGTTAACAACATGAAAGTACTCAAAAAATAATGTTCCCCTGAGCATTTCCTCAGAAATATGCTATGGAATAGCACACAGATAACCACAATGACCAGAGAGACCCAGACATAAGGAATGATGTGAGCATTAAACATACGGTTGCCCACAGAATTAAGATGGCATGAGAGCTAAGAGGAAGACAGTATGCAATAACTATGCATTCTGACAATTTGTTTCTGAAGGGATTGTGGTAAACAATGGAGAAAGATAAAAAGTAAAGTGATCAATAGTCATTTAAGTGCTAATACTAGTACTGTTATTCTAAGAGTAATATATGATATAACAAATGACAAATTATTGAATATCCAAATTTTATCATCATCTTCTTCTTTAGAATCAAGAGATAACGAAAACATCAAAGTTCTGTAGTCTTGAATTTTACATAAAAATATCAATATATATTTTTAAGGTGTTATATCTTGAGTGAATTAAACTACAAAGTGATAGTATTCTATACCAACTAAAATAAAATGATAAATTAGAAAGAACCCTGACTAAGTGTAAGTGTGAGAGATGATGCAGGCCAATTGGAGCGCCAGTTTTCTTCCAGTGGGAAGTATTGATCTAACCTCTGGCAAAAACCCTGTTTGACAGTATCTTTTGAATCTGTTACAAGTTTTACTCTTTCGTTAACTACAACAGAATTACCTACATATCTATTTTCACCAAACTATAGGTGTAAACATGTTATTAGCTGCATTATTGATAACAGTAAAAAATTAGAAACAACTAATATGTCACTCAAACTTAGAATAACACATAATAATATATTCATATAAAAGTATATTTAATGAACAACTGATGTACATAATCACTCTGGTGAATGCCCAAATCATAATATTGAGAGAAGAACGTTAGACACAAAAAACCCACTGCTTTGATTCAATTTATGCAAAGTTTGAAAACAAACTAAACTAAACTATAGTGCTAAAAGGCAATTTATTTTTGTTATGTAAATGCAGTTAATAACTAAGTAGGCCCTGTAAAGCTTTCTGCAGTTTAAAGGTGTTACATTTCTTGAACTGTATAGTGGCTATATGTGTATGTTTTCTATATAATAATTTATCAAATATAGGTGTACACATAAACTTGTAAATTTTTCTGTGTGTATGCTATAATAGATCATTGACGCTCTGGCAAACCTGGTATACCCCAGCTACTGCGGATGTCTGAGGCTGATAGCTCACAGGTGAGTTCCTCTCTTAAAATTGCCCTTGGCCACAGAGAAGTCCATTCTTTTTTGGTTTGTTTGTTTTTGTTTTTGCTTTTGTTTTGAGACGGAGTCTTGCTCTGTCGCCCAGGCTGGAGTGCAGTGGCCGGATCTCAGCTCACTGCAAGCTCCGCCTCCCGGGTTCCCGCCATTCTCCTGCCTCAGCCTCCCGAGTAGCTGGGACTACAGGCGCCGCCACCTCGCCCGGCTAGTTTTTTGTATTTTTTAGTAGAGACGGCGTTTCACCGTGTTAGCCGGGATGGTCTCGATCTCCTGACCTTGTGATCCGCCCGCCTTGGCCTCCCAAAGTGCTGGGATTACAGGCGTGAGCCACGGCGCCCGACAAGAACTCTATTCTGACAGTATTCTACTAGGGAGACACCATAGTCCATCACTGGATCATGCAATGATATAAAGGCCTAGACACTATATTTCATGTCAGAAAAACACTGAAGAGTCATTCCAGTTCTAAAGCTTTATTGAAACTGTGTTTTGGGTTGACTTCTCTTTCTGCTTAATCCTGCTTTTTCTGGTTCCTCACAGATACATCTACCAAGAGCATTCTCCAATAAATCCTCTCTGCATAAAACTCTCCATCTTAGAGGCTATGTCTAGGGAACTTCATATGATTCTGTTGTTACTAGAAGGGGTCCTAGAAAGCAGACTGTAGAATAATATTCCAAAACTGGATCAAAATATTCAGGCCATCTAGCAATGAGGGCCCTATTGCTGGTGGTAAGTGGAGGATGAGTAGACTTCACATTTCACAGTTGATAAAACTGTTACAAGTAGTGAACTCAGAACTCAGATGCAGTACTGGTGGAAGAAGACATACTGGCTATGTAATTACTTCTGGAACTTGATGCCATATAGAAAATAATAAGTATAAGGACTACAAAGTAAATAAACTTTACTGAGAAGCATTTTATTTTAATTTAAGAGTTGATAATGACGAGCTCAGGTGATTAATTAATCATCATTCCAAGGTAAAATGTGAAAGCCAGAGGGACTCTTGGCAGAATCTAAGGAGACTCTAATCATCTGCCACTGGTGGGCAGTCACTAGAGGACTAAATTCAAAAGTTAATAATACAACTAGTGGAACTTCAAAGATAGCTGGATTCTTCACCTCAGCGGGTTCCATAAGCCAATGTCAAGACGCTAACAAGAAAGAAATATTCCCCTTAGATTTAGAATGAATACAGTTGATTAGACACAGCTAAAAACCTTGAAGTTCTATTTTCCCCCAAATGCTCTTTTTTGGTGGAAGTATCTTCTAATTCCTTTGATACTAGATAGTGGTCTTCTTTTAAAGAAAGCATTACTTGGAGATCATACAGAAATTTCAAATGACTTAGGTCCTTTAAAAGACAATGCTTCCATCTAAGACCCCCCCACACTGAGGAGCTATCCTTATTTCCTTCCAGGCAAACATTCCAATAATAAAGGTTAAATGCCAGCACATTTCAATGAGACAAGCACTGAACTAGCTAAGGGAAGAAAGAGACTATAAGTAAAGGAATTGTAGGACCTGTCTAATAGGTACCATTGGAACCAGGAGAACATGAATGAAACTGGATCCTGAAGGTGACATAAAAAGGGGCATAGAACTTAGAGTTGGATATGAGATACTTTATCAATATGGAGCACTCTCACATGATATGTAATTTAACACACTGGCAAGGACACCAGGAAACAGTGATAAAACAGCAGAATGGCACTAGGAAAGTTTCAAAAAATAATGGCCCGTATAAGTGTAGCAGAAGTGCCAGAACTGCATGACAGATAGAAGATGAAGGCATTAAATGTGCATGCTACAGTGACATACTATGTAAAATCGGAAAAACCATCAGCAAACTATATTCCAAGAAAGATTAGAAGCACAGCTCATTCACTAAAGCAACACGGATTACACTGGTGAAAAAGGCACTGTCATTTCTGAACTCAGTATGGTTCTCCTCTGTAGACCAGGGAATACTGTGACAGGACTGGCCTCCCTGAAAGAAACAGGTATGAGAGTATCCTGAAATAAAACGAAGTCAGATAGTGGCTCTTAACTGTCAAAGTAAGAAGGACACACTTACCACCCTGGGCACCAAAGCTGAAGTGGCAGGCAGAGGAGGTATGAATTGCAGAGATGTTATATATATCATTTTTTATATATGCATGATATATGACTAGAGATATGATTATACATATGATTAATATAACACAGTATTTTCAAAGACAACTTAGGAAGTCATCAAATATGTTGCTTAATTTACATTATTAAAATAAATAAAGAATGGATAATTAGGAGACTGAATGCAACTCTACTAATAAAATATTGCTTTCCCTTTCCCAGTCTTAAGACCTGAGTATAGTTCTCAGATCCAGAATCCACGGTGTGAGAAAGGATCAGGCAACACCACAAGTACATTAAAGAGTAATTCCTCCTATTCTTTCTAAAAATAACTGACAATTATGTAGTAAATAACCACACATGAAGGAAAGGACGTAGTCACACCTTTTGGGGATTATTGGATATGGATCTGAATCGGCATTGATATCTGTGGACCCAAAGCACCACCATTTTCCTCTTGTTAGAGTGGCATTATTAATGAAGTTCCAGAACATGTCTGGTTCACTATGGAGCTAATGGACCTATGAACTGCCCAGTGGGCATGTTCCTGCTTTCTAAATGTAACCTGAATAGAGACTTGGTAGTTGGCAGAATCTCAACATGGATGTGTTAGTTTGTGTGGTAAGAGGTATTATAGTGCGGAAGGTCCGTGGGAAACTTCTTAAAGTATTCATTTCCCCAGAAAAAAAAGAAGGAACAATATTATATATTTGAAAAAATTGGTTAGTATCACCTTAAAATATTAAAAGATGACTGGTGTCTCAGCCTGCTTTTTGCTGCTGTAACAGCATAACTGAGACTGCGTAATTTATAATGAACAGAAATTTGTTTGGCTCATTGTTCTAAAGGCTGGGCACGCCAATGGCATGTTTCTGGCATCTGGTCAGCCACTGATGAGAGCCCTCTTGCTGGTTCATCCTAGCGAAGACAGAAAGGCAAGAGAGCAAACGAGAGCTAGAGAGCGGCTAACTAGTTTTCATAACAAATGCGTTATTTTGATAATAAACCCATACCTGAGATAACTAACCCACTCCAGTGATGATGGTATTAATCCACTCATGACGTCAGAGCCCTTATAGCCAAATCGCCTCTTTAAAGCTCTCACCTCTAAATACTGTTGCATTGGAGATTAACTTTCCAACACATGAATGTTGCAGGACACATTTCACCCATAGCAACAGGTGTGATTGTCGCCACCAGATTCCCATATAATTCAGTGCTCTAGCCCCTAAAAAAATAGATTATATGAATCATAGTGACCTCATATAAACTTTACTCAGTGGTAGCTATAATTACAGATATTATACCAAGTATGGTATCTTCGCTAGAGCAGATTAATTTAGCTTCTGGCACATGTAGCTATTGACCTAGCTAACAGCTTATTTTCCTTATCATATTTAAAGGAGCATAACAAATAATTAGCTTCACGTGAGTATACACGTATGATTTCGTCTCAGAGCTATTAATTTTCTGAAGGTAAACATCCTCTGGACATTCCCAAGATAATTACTTTGGTCTATTTTAGTGTTTATATCATGTTAATAGGAGGATGAACAGGAAGTGGCAACTCACAAGGAGGGCAAAGTAAGATACACAGGCCATAGAGGGTGAGAGATAAACTCTATAAAGATTCAAGAATGTGCCGTATAGATGAAGTTTTGTGGCTCCAGAAATCCAGGTCATATTGGTACACCCAATCTAATGTACAGGACGAATAACCAAATTTTGCATATCCCACAAGTAAGAAACACAAGACCTCATAAGATGCTGATTTCTGGAGGCAGCATATTCTTGGGAAACTTGGTCCCAATTCATTTCCTCAGTGATTTGAATGACTGTCAGCTTTCAGTGATAACTAAAGCAAGAAAGGCCTCAAAAGGGACCAGGCTATGGTAAAAGGAGACATTCCACCTAGATGCTGTGACCTGGAAGTCCTTATGGTTATGCACCATTTTTAACAAAACTTTCAATAATAATGAAATTATTTCATATTTTAACTGTCCAATGTAATAACCAATGATCATAAGTCTGAAATAAAACTTTCAGCAGGTCCATGGCCACTCTGGAGATTTTGAGGAAAATCCTTCCTTGCCTCTCCTACATTCTGGTGACTGCTGGTATGCCTTGGCATCCCTTGGCTGTAGTTGCATCTCTCCAATTTCTGCCTCCATCTTCACATCAGCTTCTCCTCAGTGTGTATCTCAAAACTACCTCTACCTCTCTCACACAGATTGTCTAGGATAAGCTTCTTCTCTCAACATCCTTTACTTGATCACATGTTTTGCTATATGAGGTAATACTCACAGGTTCTTGATATTAGGATTTCAGAATTTTTTCAGAGCCAAATTCAGTCCACCGCAAGAAGCCTGTGCTGTCAGCTGTTATGAAGCTTGTAGATGGGTGGAGATGCAAGAGAGACTACAAATGAACAACGACAACAAAAATCAGCCAGTGACTGGTACGTGCAGATAATTGAAGTTATAGAAAGTCATTAGGTAACTCTTTAAGATTATTTTTTCTGGAAGGTCTCTAGGAATTAGTGGTATTTCAACAATAATCTGAATGACAAGAAAAAATTAGGAGTTCAAATACCTTGAGGAAGAGTTTCCTAGGCAAAGGGAAAAGTTAATGTAGAGACAAAAGTTACAACAGGTATGTCATATTAAATAAATTAAAAAGAAAACCATATAGCTAGAAAATAGTAGATACACTTGGAGGTGTAGATATGGACCAAATCATATAGTACCTTGTAAACCAGAATAAGGAATTAATCAATTAGTAACACTTACGTTCTGGTAGTCTCACATAGCTTCCAAATTTCTTAACATAGTATATGTTATTGTGGTGCTCCTTAGACATTTGCTGCAGTCTAATATCCTTAAATAAGGTAATTTCTTCCTAACCTCTGTTTGTTATCAACGTTAGGATGACAGTTTGCATAAATAATTTATTTCAAATTACTCAGTCACCTGAATTGTTATATTACCATAAGACTTGAAGTGTCTGATTCCAATCATAATTGTAAAAATGATTGATCCATGTTACATATCTTAAAATCCTTGCTAGTTGATTAATTTGCTATCTGAGTGAAACTTTTTATATTAAAAACTAACAAGTACAAATAAGAAGGTGTGCTTTTATTTATACAGAATTTCTCATAAATCAATCAACAAGGGCAGGATAAACTATTTTGATAGAATAAAACAAGAATTTCCAAAGGTCATTTTCCCTTTGTATTAGAGTAACATATCTGTTTAATTTTTGTTTTTGTGGGTACATAGTAGTTGTATATATTTATGGGGTACATTACATGTTTTGATACTGACCTGCAATGCATAATAATCATATCGTAGAGAATGAGACATTCATCCCTTCAAGCATTTATCCTTTGTGTTACAAACAATTCAATTATATTATTTTGTTTATTTCAAAGTGTACATATTGACTATGGTCAAATTTGTGCTATCAAATAGTAGGTCTTATTCATTCTTTTTAAATTTTTGTACCCATTAACCATCCCCACCTCCACCCACCATCCCTGCTACTCTTCCAAGCCTCTGGTAACCATCATTCTACTCTCTATGTCCATAAGTGCAATTGTTTTGATTTTTAGAACCCACAAATAAGAGAACATTTGATATTTGTCTTTGTTTGTCTGGCTTATTTCACTTAGCATAATGACCTCCAGTTCCATTCAGATTGATGCAAATGACAGGCTCTCAGTCCTTTTTATGGCGGAATAGTACTCCATTGTGAATATATACTACAGTTTCTTTATTCATTCATCTATAGATGAACACTTAAGTTGTTTCCAAATCTTGGTCATTTTGAACAATGCTACAACAAACATAGGAGTGCAGGTATCTCTTTTACATACTGATTTCCTTTCTTTTCAGTATGTACCCAGCAGTGGGATAGCTGGGTCATGTGGTGACTTTAATTTTACTTTTTTTCAAGAACCTCTAAACTGTTTTTCGTAGTGACTGTACTAGTTTACCTTCCCACCAACATTGTACAAGGCTTCCCTTTTCTCCACATCCTCACCAGCATTTGTTATTGCCTGTCTTTTTGATATAAGCCATTTTAACTAAGGTGAGATGATATCTCATTGTAGTTTTGATTTGTAGTTCTCTGACGAACAATGATGTTGAGCACCTTTTCATATACTTATTTGCCATTTTTATGTCTTATTTTGAGAAACATCTATTTGTATCTTTTGCCCATTTTCGAATCAGATTATTAGATTTATTTCCTAGAGAATTGTGTGAGCCCCTTACATATTCTGATTTTTAATATCTTGTCAGATGTATGGATAGTTTGCAAGTATTTTCTCCTATTCTGTGGGTTTTTTGCTTCACTTTCTTCACGTCTTCTTTGCTGTGCAGAAACTTTTTAACTTGCTGTGATCCAAACTGTGCATTTTTGCTTTGGTTGCTTGCGCTTATGGGGTATTCCTTAAATTTTTTGCTCAGACTAATTTCCTGAAGATTTTCTCCAGTGTTTTCTTGTAGTAATTTCACAGTTTGAGGTCTTAGATTTAAGTTTTTCATTCATTTTGTTCTGATTTTTTGTGTATGGCAAGAGATAAGTATCTAGTTTCATTCTTTTGCATATATATATTCAGTTTTCTCAGCACCATTTATCGAAGAGATTGTCTTTTTCTCAATGTATGCTCTTGGTAATTTTGTCAAAAATGACTTCACTGTAGTTGTGTGGATTTGTTTCTGAGTTCTCTGTTCTATTCCATTGGTCCATATGTCTGGGGTTTTTTTGTTTGGTTGGTTGGTTGGTTTGTTGATTTTTTTTTTTTTTTTTTTTTTTTTTTTTTTTTTTTTGGATAGCTTTGGCTTTTCTGGGTCGTTTGTAGTGTCCTATTAATTTTAAGATTGTTTCTCTATTTCTGTGAGGATTGTCATTAGTATTTTGATAGAGATCACATTGAACCTGTAGATTACTTTGAGTAGTATGGATATATTACCATATCCTTATGGTAAAATTTAACAATTTAAAATATTGGTTTTTTCCAATCCATAAACATGAAATATTTTTTCACCTTTTGGTGTCTTCTTCAACTTCTTTTATCAATGTTTTATAATTTTCACTACAGAGATCTTCCACTTCTTTGGTTAATTCCTAGGTATTTAATTATTTTTGACTATTATAAAAGTGATTACTTTTTAAACTTTTTTCGGATTTTTCACTGTTGGCATATAGGAATACTACTGAATTTTGTGTGTTGATTTTGTGTCTGGCAATTTAATGAATTTGTTGATCGCACATAAAAATGGCAATAGTTTCTAATGGATTTCTTGTGGAGTCTTTAGGTTTCCCTGAATATAAGATCATATCATCTACAAACATGGATTATTTGATTTCTTCCTTTCCAATTTTGATGCCTTTATTTCTTTCTCTTGTCTGATCGCTCCAACTAGGACTTCCAGGTTTGCGTTGAATAACAGTGGTCACAGTGGGCATCCTCATCATGTTCCAGGTCTTATAGAAAAGGCTTGCAGTTTTTCTCCATTATGTATGATACTAGATGTGGGTTGGTCACGTGGCTTTTATTACGTTGTTATTCTTCTATAACCAGTTTTTATATGTTTTTTTTTTATCATGAAGGAATGTTAAACTTTATCAAATGCTTTATAGGCATCAGTTGAAATGATCATATGGGTTTTGTCCTTCATTCTGTTGATATGATGTATCACATTGATTGATCTGCATATGTTAAACTATGCTTGCATCCCTGGGATAAACCCCACTTGGTCATGATGAATAATCCTTCTAACGTATTGTTGAATTTGATTTGCTAGTATTGTGTTGAGTATTTTTACATCAATACTCATCTGAGTTATTTACCAGTAGTTTTCTTTTTTTGATGTGTCTTTGTCTGGTGTTGATATTAGGGCAATACTGGCCCATAGAACGAGTTTGGAAGTATTCCCTCTCCCTCAGCTTTTAAGAATAGTTCAAGTAGGATTGGTTTCAGTTCTTTAAATGTTTGGTAGAATTCAGCAACAAACGCATTGAGTTCTGGGCTTTTCTTTACTGGGAAACTTTTTATTATGGCTTTGATCCTATTACTTGTTATTGGTCTGTTCAGGTTTTGGATTTCATTATGGTTCAATCTTGGTAGCCTTGCTCATCATAGCCTCTAACGATTCTTTGAATTTCTGAAGTATCAATTGTAATGTGTTTTTTTCATCTCTGATTTTATTTTGGTCTTCTTTCTTTTTTTAGTCTTGCTAAAGGTTTGCCAAATTTGTTAAATGTTTTAATAAAATCAACTTTTTATTTCATTGATCTTTTGTATTTTTAATTTTAATTTTATTTATTTCTGCTCTAATCTTTATTTTTTTTTTCTTCAACTAATTTTGGGTCTGATTTGCTCTTGCTTCTCTAGTTCCTTAAGATGCATCACTAGGTGAGGTATTTGAAGTTTTTCTTCTTTTTTAATGTAAACACTTAATATTTATAAAATTTCATCTTAGTACAGCTTTCCCTGTATCCCATAGGTTTTAGTATGTTGTGTTTCCATTATCATTTTTTTCAAGAAATTTTCAATTTCCTTCTTAATTTCTTCACTGAACCACTGGTCATTCAGCAGTATGTTGTTGTTGTTTAATCTCCATGTATCTTTATAGTTTCCAAATTTCTATTGTCATTGATTTCTAATTTTATTTTGTTGTAGTCAGAAACGATGCTTGATTTTATTTCAACTTTTTTGAATGCTTTCAAACTTCTTTTGTGACCTAATGTAAGATCTATCCTTGAGAATAATCCATGTGCTGAGGAAAAGAACGTGTATTTTGTAGGTCTTTGATGAAATGTTCTGTAAATATCTATTAGATCCATTTGTTCTATAGCGCAGATTAAGTTGGATGTTTCTTTGTTGATTTTCTTTCTGAAAATCTGTCCAGTGCTGAAAGTGGGGTGCTGAAGTCTCCATCTGTTATTTTATTGGAACTTATCTCTCCCTTTAGCTCTAATAATATTTGCTTTGTATATCTGGTTGCTCCAGTATTGGGTGCATATATGTTTAAAATTGTTGGGTACCCTTGCTGAATTAACCTCCTTATCACTATATAGTTATCTTCTTTGTCTCTTCCTAAATTTTTTGTCTTGAAATCTATTTTGTGTAAGTATAGCAACTCCTGCTCTTTTTTGGTTTCCATTGGCATGAACTGTGTTTTTCCATCCCTTTGTTTTCAGTCTATGTGTATCTTTATAGGTGAAGTGTGTTTCTTAACAGGCAATGGATCAATGGTTCTTGCTTTTTTATTCATTTGGCCACTCTACACCTTTTGATTGGAGAGTGTAATCTATTTACATTCAGTGCTGTTTTTGACAAGTAAGGATTGAATCCTGCCATTTTAAAATTTGCTTTCTGGTTGTTTTGTGGTCTCTTTCTTGTGGGA